TTGTGAAATATGAGCCCATAAGTGCAGAGGGCCTTTGGGTTTCCTGAAGTCTGACCCAAAGCTGAGCCACAGCAAGGAAACGCTCTGGTGTCCTTGCCAAAATGACAGTGTCACCAAGTGAAAGAGTGAGATAAAATCTGGCAACATTTTGGAGGCAGAGACAAGAGACCACCAAGAGCGTTTGGTGGAACCGATGCTAGCAAGGTGTGTGTTTTTCAGTTTCCACCCCAAGCAATGCTACCCACAACCTTCTGACTGCCATGGGTTTGTTGCTGTCATTTAGTATAGAAAAGAAGGGCAAGGACAGCTTGCTGCCTTCTGGTCTGGCCCCCTTCCATCCCCTGAGACAGAGAGTTCCTCTGCAGCAGAGAGATCCAATTTCACCAGAGAGCCGGCAGGGCATCTCCAACCACTGCGAAGGCAATGTATGCCTGTGTGTCTGGTTATTCCCTTCATGTTCATGTTCTGGGTTGAGTAGACACCTTGTAAAGTCAAAGATGTCTCAAGAAGGAACACCACACACACACACACACACAAATGCAAGCTCCAGCCCCTCATGATCCTAATCCCATGTTCCATTCCCTTTCATGGCTCCTGGTGAGCCTACTGCTCTCTTCTCTTTTCTGGGTACAGCACAAGTGCAACAGAGAGCTGTGGGTGAAATAATGGGGACAGGGAATAGCAAGGAAGAGGGGCAGGACATGGAAAGAAGAGAGGAGAATCCTGAAGTGGGGTGTTTACATCCAAGGAGCAAAGGGAATGCTGAAATCCTATGGTGAAAGCTAATTCCCCTGGGCCATGCCAAGGCTGTCACTAGAAAATGAGGGCCAGTGGGCCTCACAGCTTAGAAAACCGAGTGTTGGAACCAGGTTTTATTCTTTAGAATTTCATCCTGGATTCACCTTGGAAAACCAAACACAGAGGAACAAGAAAAGATGGAAGCCATCTAGTCTGAAGCTGCCTTGGTGGCTCTGACAAGTAAGGGGACTGGGACTGTGAACATTAGAGGATGGGGTGACTCATGAACCCTGAGATCCCGAGAAGGGGAAGAATCTCACACAGGAAAGACTCCAGCTACGAGGCAGGCAGGGTGCTGAAGCACTATTCGCTAAGATACCAGACGGTGGCAAAAATGGCCAAGGAGGAAGGTGCAGGGTGACTCCGATGGAGACTTGGGTGGTGCCCGCACAAACAGTGGGCAGAACTGTCTGGCAGGCAGCTGCAAACAGGGGTCTGGAACTTGAGAGAGAAAACTGGACTGGAAGAAAACAAAGATCCACCTATGGACTTTAAGACTTCACTATACTTGAAAACAGAAAATGGAGGAAAAGATCATGGGGAGCTAAGAAGGGAGGGAAGGAAGAAGGTAGGAAAGGGGAAGAGAAGGAAGAAGGGAGAAGAAGGGAGGGAGAGAGAGAAAAAAGAAGAGTGAGAGGGAGGGAGGAAGGGAGGGATAAGGAGAGAAAGAGGAAGAGAAGAGTAGAGAACAAAAGATTTCCCACAGTTCTACTCCATTTCTCTGCCTTCTTATAAACCAGAAAGGCACGATCTGGTAACTAAGCTCCAACTAAAGAAAGAAACAGATGACTGTTTCCAGGCACCTTCCATTAAAAGAGGAAAGAAAGAATACATTCTATCTTTCTGGCTTTGTTCACCCTAGCAGGAGATCAATCTGTGGGTTGTAACCCCTTTGGGGGCCAAACAACCCTTTTGTGGGTGTCATCTAAGACCCACAAAACACAGATTCATACATTACGATTCATAGCAGCAGCAAAATCACAGTTACGAAGTAGCTGTTATGGTTATGGTTGTTACTGTTATGGTTGGGAGTCACCACAACATGAGGAACATAAGGTCACCACAACAGAAGATCGCAGCATTAGGAAGGTTGAGAACGGCTGGTGTAGGACATGGAGGAGAGAGCTGCAGCTCTACCAGCCTTTACATCAACGCAGATGAGAGCCAACTCCAAAAGATGGCAAAGAAATGAGCTAGGCGGCACCCAGCTCTCAAAGAATGTCACCAAACCCATGCACCTCTAGGGCGGCCATGCTCTGACTTTGCTAAAAGAGGTGGACATAGCCTCATTTGTGGCACGAACATCTGTTAGGTGTTCTGCCTGATGGAGTCATTCCTAATAGTAACCAGCCCACGGGTCTGCTATGTCCTGTCTTCTTGGAGTAGGTCACTGCCCGGCATACCTCCCCACTTGCCTGTACTTACTTAAACCCTGCCTACCCTTTGGGGGATGGATCATGTTCCGCCTCCCACTAGAGATTGTCCTTCCACTTCCTCCCTGAGCTCCGGCACTGTCTGCCTGCCCCCTCTCCTCGGGCACCTGGCCCCGTGGGTCTCGAGTGACTCATGCCCCCCCCCCCCATATCCCCAGACTTCTCAATAAGATTCGGCATCCGGAAGAGCGAGACCCTGAAGCCTTGGCGTGGGCCCCATAGAGTCTGTTTTCACCTCTGCTTGTGTCAGGGATCAGGCAGGGGCCAGAAACTAACTGAATCAGTTTAGAAAAGCTGAGGAGGTGCAAAGAGGTTAGGGACATGAGTAAGACACATAAAAGTAGCTCCAGCACAAAGATGTCGCTTTGAGAAAAGGCCTGACACACCTTCAGGCTTGACAGCTAGCCTAGATACTGGGCTGCCTCAGAGTACACTCAGGCAGGCCCCACCCATAAGGCAGTGGCTTCAAGGACAACAACGCAGGTCCCTGAAAGAGGGTAGAGTACGTCAGTGTCCCTTCGGAGGAACAGTGGGTTTGAGCATGCGGCTGTGGTGTCCCAGCTACTCAAGGAAGCTGAGGCAGGGGGATTACCTTGTGCACAGGAATTCAAGAGCAACTGTGGCTGCAGCAGAATCCCATGGGAGGCAGGGGAGCCCATCACGGAAATGGAAGTACACACCTGATACACATCCTTTACAGATATCTATCAATAACTACTGCTTCAAAAACTACGTCTCCAACACTCTAAGAACAGACGATTCCTTTAGGTCTGAGAACTGAACACATTGCATCCACAGAGGCAGCCCAGTGCTTTCAGAGGCCCAGGGGACTGATCACTCGGAGCTTAGGCTGTAACACGCTGACACACCAGGAAGACGTCAGCAGGGCTAATCACTACTCCGGAGGTTTAAGTGGAAACTCCTAATTTAGAGTAAGCCCGAGCGAAAGCAAGCCCGGCTTTCGGAGGGCATTTTCTGAGTATCTTGGAAGCCCATTGTTGTCAGAGCTATGGCCCGGGGTTCCCAGAAAAGCCACCAAGCAAGCACGCTTGGATCCACACTAACAAACCGAGCCAAGCCACTGTAGGCTGGCCCAGGAAGAGGAATTTGCCAGGCATGGAGAAGTTGAGAGGCACGCCTACCTCTTTAAAACAGCACTAGTGTCTGTTTAAGTTATTCTTCTGGCATCGGGGACAGCGATTTAACTGAGCGGGAAGATGCAGGGTTTGGGCCAGATGCAGCTTCCATTCTCTCTTGTAGGCAGTTTGTGCACAACTTAGCAGCTCCTCTGCCTCCTTGTTTCGGCTGAAACTCAGGCGGCTTTAATATGCCTGCCAAAACTGCTCCCTTCCGGGCCTTAGAGTCTTGAGTTCCGTGCCAACCCCACGTGGCCAGATGCCACTTGGGGACAGCGCCTGTGGACACGAGGCCCAAAGCCCCAGAGAGAGCGGACTTTTGCTGGCTGCCTTGCCACTCAGGATCACTAGGTGGCGGTGGAGAGCCGGGAGCTGCACACCGGGAATGTGCAGGGCGCTTCTGCCCGCTGTGGGTTGAAACCTGACGCTGTGGCTTTGGGGAACCGAGAGCATGCTCATCCCATCCTCGGGCACTCAGGAACAGTGTGAATTCACTCGCCCGCCAACTCACCATGCAACCTCTTGGGTGGTTTCCCTTTAGTGTGCCCCACGCCCCCAGAGGAAGCGCTACCCATTTCAAAAGGACGGGGTCTTTTGCCCTGGCCCCAGCCCCAGAACCGGGAAAATTTAAAACAGCTCTTCACCCGTCCTCAATACAAGCATGTTACCAGTTCCCATTTCTACCGAGCCTAAGATGTTTCATTTGCAACCCTTCAATGATACACCTGTAGAGTCTATAGTTACCAAAAAAAAAAAAAAAAAAAAAAAAAAAAAAAAAAAAAAAAAAAAAAAAAAAAAAAAATTCCAACAAAGAAAGTGGATTGCACAGAGCTGAGAAGCATTTCACTGTTTGCCCTGTGGCGGTTTCTCTCATTGAGGGAACCAATGAGAGAACATGAGAGAGTCGTTTTCAGTAAGATTGGAAGCTGTCCTTAACTGGCCTTTCAAAGCCAGACTTCTAGGCCTCCCTGGGGCCAGGACACATCCTTGGGAACACAAGACCAAGTCTTGGCAGAAATCTCATTTCTACACTCCCACCAGCACAGCCCGGCTCTGCTGAGCACTCCTAGCGTTCCCTCAGTTTCATCTTCAGCCTGGTTTCCAGCACCCCACAGCCAAAGATGCTGAGAGCAAAGGAGAAACACAGTCTGTGGAGAAGGGCCCACAGCCAGGCTCAGCTTATGACGCTAAATGATACCACGGAGGCCCAAGACCCTAGGGAGGCATTCTGGGAACCCAGACCTGGCCAGGTCATCTGCAGGAAGGCCCCATTGGCTGCCCTTGCAGCAGAAAGGCACAGGACGTTTCTGATGGAGACAGCCACCAAACCACAAAACGTCCACAGTATCCCCCGTTGCCACAGGGTCTACTCCCAGTGTCCTGGCACGTCACCTTCTCTGCTTACCTGTGTCCGTATTTCTCTACCCACAATGAACATTACGAAAAGCGACTGGGACAAGCGGAAGGCATGGCTCAGGTGGAGTCAAAGCTACACTGAAGACTCCCTCTGTCCCCTTCCTCTCCTCTTGGTTTCCTGGCTCCATGCCCCACCCAGGAGGGCCTTTCTAGACCGGAGCCTCAAGAACTGACCCCTCAGGGCCAGTCTACCCAAGGCATAAAACCAGTCTCTCACCGCTCGCTGAGGATGAGTAGCAGTGCTGGACGGCTCCCAGGGAGGACGTGGTACAGTTCTGCCAGAGGTCAGTCGTTTGTCCATTGCCCACGAGCCATTGCTGGAAACAATCAGACAGCCCCAGTCAGTGAAGCGGGTGAGGAGCGGGGGAGAAAAGGAGCAGGGTGAAGGATGGCAGAACAGCCTCATGGCCTGGGGGGCGGGGGGGGCGTCCTTCCAACACCCAGACACACACACACATGCTGCTACCGCACAAAGAGGTGTGTGACACAGTAGGAACCAGGAACTTGCCCAAAGACAACTAACTGCGCTCAAGCTCCACCCCCCACCCTCCACCCCATGAACGCCTTCTGGGTGCCATTCCTAGCCAGGGCCTCTCTAAGCCGACACACACACACACACACACACACACACACACACCCCACACGAGGTGGGGGGGGAAGGAGGCATCAGGGTCTTATGCAGCCCAGGCTGTCCTCAAACTCTCTCTGTAGCCAAGAATGACCTTGAGTTTCTGATCCTCCTGCTTCTACCTCAGAAAGTGCTGAAACTTCAGGTGTGCACTACCGCTCACAGGTTCATGCTCTGCTGGGCGTTGAACCCCTGTTTTCACGCATGCTAACCAAGCACTGTTCCAGCTGAGCTCATCATTTCCGCTGCTGCCAAGATTAGCATCGTTGTCGTGCAGTTAACAGATCCCAAACCTACTTCTCAGATCCCAACCACGCTTGCAATCTGCCTCACACTGAGACAGCAAAGCCAGGAGCGCGCATCTTCCTCCCCAAAAGGGCAAATTTTAAGTGAATTAACCTTACACTGTGCGCGACAGCTCCGTAACCAGCTTCTTCCCTGCCCAGCCCCCCAGTGGAGCCCGTAAGACACTACAGTCTAATGGCTCGAGGCTTGCAGACGTTTTTCCAGAGAAGCAGATGTTAACCTGATAACTCCAAGTCCTAGAGACTTTTACAAATGAAACAACTCATCTGAGCTATAATTGGGGGGAGGGGGGGATGGAGGGGATCGACTTTTCATAAATGCCCTCACTGAGTTCCTCATGGAAGCTGCATCAAGGAACAGAAGGCCGCCTAATCTTCTCAACTGGGGGGCCAGGAACCACGGATCGGCCCTGCAAGCCTTTGGCTCAGAGGCCCAAGCAGTTAAGTTCACTTCCTGATGACTGGCCTAACTTTCTCAGAGAACTGAAGAGAAGTCCCGGGGCCTCTGGGACGTCCAGCTGTCTGCAAATAGCCTTTCAGTTTGGCACTCCACTGGGAACCCAGAGCAGGGAGAGCGGCGGCCCCGCGGGGACCCTCTCCTGCCCGCCCGCCCGCACTCACGCTGACGATGGTGGAGACGAACAGCAGCACCAGCACCGCGACGTGGAGGAACAGGATCCCCAACAAGAGTAGGAGCATGGTGGCTGGGATTTGGGCTCGGGATCGGTGGAGCGGTGCCTGCGAGGAGAGGGAGGCGGGTGTGAGTCCGCTGGCCCCGGCCCGGGACCCGGCTGGCCGGGAGGGGGCGGCAGCCGCCACCCGTATCCCCGCCCAGCGCCCGCCCGCCGTCCAACATCTTTCGCCTTTGGAACAAAACAAGCGAGTGGTACGCACGTCTCGATCACCGCGGGAGGCGCGCGGAGGAGAGGAGTTTCCAGAACCCTGAGCGGAGGCCAGAGCAAGCCTCCGCCCAGCCCGGGCGCCTCTCGGGGACCCGAGGGACTCAGGAGGCCACGGAGGCCACGTCCCTGCCCGAGTCACAGGGCGGGTTCCCCCGGGGGACGGGAGGCGCCAGGATCGCCGCCCGCAGCGGCCGGGGGTCGCCCGCCGCCCGAGGCTGCTTTCCCAGACCCCAGCGCGCCCCGCGTTCCGTTACTTGCCTCCAAGTTTCCACCGGGTTTGGCCCGCGGAGACCAGCCGCCCCGCCCCCGGCTCGGCCTAGGCGCTGGCGGCTGGCGAGCCGGAGAGCAGGCGGGCTGGAGGACTGCCCGGAGGACTGCCCGGCTCCAGAGCTTCCCGCGCGCGCGCGCGGGCCCGCGCCCTCCCTGCGCCCCGGGGGGCTAAGGGCCTGCGGTCCCCTTAGCTCCACGAGCGTCCCCCTGGGCGGCTGAGCCCGCCGCACCCAAGGCCCCTACACGGACCCCGTCCAGCCCCCCGTCCCGAGTGGATGCGCCGGGAGCCGCAACCCGGGGTGCCGCTGACGCGTAAAAGAGAATTCTCAAACTCGGGTCCAAGCTGGCAAGACCTGTTCCCGAGGTCCGGGGATCCTGTTCCCCCACCCCACCCCGCGTCACAGACTTGAGGGAGCTGAAGCTCGGGTGACGTGATAGCGAATACAGCTGTGAAAGACTGGCTACAGCTGGGCGGGCCGGTTAAGGACAGAACCCTGGGCCAGGGAGACTTGTAAATCAGTTTTGACAAGTGCTCCATCCCACACACCTCCACTTTCCTCCCAAGAAGCACATCAAAAACAATAACTCAGGAACGCGCGTTAGATAAGCAGGAGTTCCCCCGGGATTTCAAAAAAAATTTTTTTTTTTAAATTAAATTCTTCGTACGGCTTCAAGCCGCAGGGAGCAAGAGCGCCAGAGGACCTGACGGGCCAGAGGTCCGAGATACTATCCAAGGTACTTTAATGGCAAGGCCGCCCCAGCCACCCTCTATCCGGACGCCGCCACCACCCTGAGGTCTGAACGCCTCGGGGCAGTCCTAGGTGTGTCCCTCCGGTAGGCTCCTAGCAGCGGCCAGGGTTCTCGGGGCTCCTGCCACCAGGAAGCCCTGTCCGCACTCCAGGCGCCATCTCCAGAAGAGATGCCCGGGTTTAGCGCCCACCTCCTCCTCCGCTTTCCCTACCGACTTACTTGCGGTTCAAGGGGACGGCTGTCTCAGAGCAGAGTGGCCTCGGGCACAAACTCGGGTGCGACCTCTGGGCAGCTGTCTTAGCTGTGCTGCGGGGCTGCGCGAGCGAGCGAGGGAGCGAGCGAGCGCGCGCAGAGCAAAGCAAGGGGCCAGAGGGAGGCTCCCGGCGTTCCCCTTTAACGGGAACTACGCCCTGTTTGCGTCGAGGCAGAAGGGTGTGTCCCGGGGTCAGCGTGTGCGGGAGGGCGGGCCTCCCCGAGGAGAGGGGGCAGGAGGGCGGGGCGCCGAGCGTCAGAGACAGTTACTTGGACTTAAAGACACCTCCGAAAAAAGCAGATCTCTGCAAAACCTTGACTTTTCCTCCTGAGCTTCTCACCTCCCACCTCCCCTAGCTCTGTGGTCCTTGTGTCCTGTTGACCAATAAACTGTACCTTCGACCCCTGAGCCCTCAACCCTCATGGATAAAGCTTGCTAGACATCCCCGCAAGCGCGCAATGCGGGGTGTCCGGGGCACGGAAGCGGACTGTGCCCACATGGGGACTGAGGCTGGATCCTCTCTCCTATCGGCGGGGCAGCGGGACCTCTGAGGTCCTGGCACACTTGGCTTGCCCTTGGGTGATAACGGGGCTAGTCCTCAAACCGTCCATCCTCGTTATCCCCATTTGAACCTAGAAAGTGCGCTGGTTTCCTGGGATTCAGCGGGCCCTTCTGGGTGGTGGGGCGGGGGTGGGGGTGGGGATGGAAAGCCAGGCTGACGAATAGACAGGGAGCCTCAGGATCGGGCTCCTCCTAGGCTTGGCAAAACCAGATTACAACCTCATATACGCTCCATTAGAAGTTTGCCTGAGGCAATCTGGCCTGGCTCCCAGCCTTGGCTGGAGTCCTGGCCACGGGGTAGGGGCTGAGGGAAGTGGCCATCTGAGGTGCGGGAAGAGCAGCCGGAGAAACTAGCTGATTCATGGCTGCCTGAGTGTGGCCCGCCCAGAGTTAAGGAGGGAGAGGCTGGCTGGCCAGCTCCTCTTGGAGATGTGCCTGAAGAGCCATCAGGTCACCTGTACCGGCTGACTGAGCAAGGAGCCCATGCGTTAAAGTCTCTATCGCACATCCAAGACCCTCCCTACCTGTTAAGAGCCGTGTGTCATGAAGCCCTAGATGACTCAGATAGTTGCTTATTATTTTGCCATTTGAAGGTAGCCGCTATTTAAACTCGTATATATTCTTGCTCATTAAGTAAAAAATAAATAAATAAATCAGTAAATGTGAAGAATTCTTCAGACAATGATCCTTTAAAGTTTCTCATCGGATTAAAAAGAATACCTGTGGCATTTGAATTCAATGCCCTGCCGGTGCCAGGTGTTTGACCTGGGCTTGGCACACCGGGGACTCGGGGCAGTGTGGTGCAGTGGTGCAGGCCTAAGCTCTGCACTCAGGAATCCTGACCAGCCGGATTCCTCCTGCTGCCAGCCTTCACTGCGCTCCGCTCCGGTGTTTTTGTCTGGGAAGAGCTGCTGCTGCCTGCATTGGAGGGTGTGGCGATCTTTGAAGATGCTCTCAGAGCCATTAGCGCTCTGTCTGGAAGGAAATACAGGCCCTGTCCCCAAACGCACCACTATTGTAAGGATAACGCATTTATCACTCGCCACCCTTCAAGGCAAACCTGTCGCCTCCGCACTAAGACAGATTAGAAAATACCCAGAGTTTCCCGGCTGCATGAGACTGCACATGGCCGGAGAGTGACGGAGGAAATGGGAATAAGTCTTCTGTTTCATGGGTCGCTTTCATACGTTAGCTGGGTCCTGGAGGTCATTGCTGTGCTCCTACTTACTTAGAGCCATACTTATTCCAGGCATTCTCGGTGGCACCATATTTAACTCTGGGTTCTCTTCCCTTTCTATTCCTTAGGTAAACTTCTAAAGGCAGTCTAATCTACATCTTGGAAAGAGCATGGTTGTAGCCACGTTCCCGGCCTGCTCCTCCCCTCTCCTTTTTTTTTTTTAAACTCGGTCTTTCAGTCAACAGTCACCTAGGTCATAGCCACACCACAAGCTGCCAGAAAGGTGACCCCCTTCTGTCCCTCGATGCCTCTTGCTTCCTCGCCAGTTCCCAGTGCTAGAAAGAGAATGCTCCTGGGGGGATGCTGAGTAAGCTTGGCCACACCCAGAGCCACAGGTGGAAGTGGCCACGTACCAGCCCCCATGCCAGCTGTGTGAATACTGCAGCTTCTTACTAGGGTAGGGCCATGTAGGTCCCCCTTTTCCTTCCAGGCTGGATGTGCTCAGGCCCTGGATGCTCTCAGACCACACCCTTGCCTTCCCAACCAAATACACCCCCGGGTTTAAAGCAGGGACTTAACAACCGAGTCCCTGTCACTCCCAGTACCCAGGCGCGGTCTCCGCTACAGTTGTTTCCATTTGGAGGTTGCAGCGGGTGGGAACTGAGCACCCCTATAAAGGGCACACTACCCAGAGGCACCATTTGCCAGTAAAACTCACCAGACTAACGGTGCAACCCCTTCCTCCACACAGATCTCTTTGCAGTCAAGTGCAAAGGATGGACAGCAAGTCCTCCCCACAAGACGGCAGACGCCCACAGCAGACAGCACCCTGAGCTCTGCTGCTCCCAGCCAGGCGCTCTGGGTTGTTCTCTGGTGGAGCTCCCTGTAACTGACGCTGGACTAGGCGTCTTTCCAGTTTATTCAGGGGCTGGTCCAATGCTGGGATATGTCATGGTGGCCTGAGAGGTTCTCAGCCTCTACTATTTAAAGAGACAGTGTCCAGCCTGGGTTTCCTCCAGAATAAAGTGATCCCAAGAGGCCCTGCAGGAAATGGAGAACTTGGGATGGGTTTGGGGTGTTCCTGAATCTGAGAGCCCAGGGCTGTTCTCCCTGGAAACGCTGGTCTGTGTGCAAGCAAAGAGGCCCAGCCCATTCTTAGCAGGCTCTCTCCTTCACTCTGTGGATCCCACAGGACTGAAATCTACTGTATAGTGGCTACACAGTGCAAGAACACCAACATCCTTGTACAGCGCTCCAACATGGCACAAATCCCTCCCTCAGCATCGTACCAGGGGACCAAATACGTCAGTGCTACCCAAGCCAGGTCACTCTGCTGTGTGTCCAGTTAGCAAGAGTCCATGCTGTCTGCTCTTTCTGCCGTGACTCCCTCTGCCTCAACATACCAGGCTGGCAGTGTGTTAGAACGGAAGTCAGGGAGACATGTCTTCCAGCTCTGTCCTTCCTCAAATCACTACTAAACATTGGCCTTTGTGAGGTCAAGTAAACAACCCTGTGCAGAAAAGGGTTCTGAGCTATGAGGCAGGGCAGACTTGGAAGAGCGACTGGGAAGTCAAGAGCTCGGCAAATGGTGCTCCTTGCGTTTTCTTGGCTTAGCCCACCCCTTCCGGCTCATAAGAAGGGCCCTCATCACTAACAATTGCAGATGCCCGTCTCAGGGAAGAGATTCCACTGACTGGATTTCCTGGAACCCTGGCAACTCCCCAATCTCTTGTGTCAGGAACTCCCACTCTGATCAACCCAAAGTGTTTGAGGAAGTCCTCGTTTGCCATAGAGACCTTACGTCTTGCCGGGCTCCCTAAGTCAGGAGCAAGGCTGAACTGTCCAACTGCTCTGCCCACAGACAGCATTCTTCTCGTTCCTTCCACTCGTTCACCCATTTCTATCTTCTCAGCACCTGTTCTTAGCCCCGACTGTTGAACTTAGAAGCTACTGAAGCTACTACTTGCCAATGATCTCACTAGGACCCATGCCAGAGATGCTGGCTTTAGTGGTAAGGGAAGGGGACCGAAGGCGGGTCGCTTGTCACACTCTGCTTCTCCAGCATGTCACGTTGTTCGGCTGGGTGTTCTGGAGTTATTACACCTTTGGTTTTCCTCCCGGCTTGCCTCTGTGCTTCAGTGCAAACTGGGTCGAGGCTGGGGGCGGGCTGCTGTCTTATGCATGGTATGGGCTAGTCTCACCGGGACAGGGTGCGGACAGAATTCGTCCCCATTCTCCTCTGATATGGTCGGCACAGAGGGAAAGCAGGAGGCACAGCTCCTTTCATCTTTATCCCCAAGCTGGGTGTCCCCACAATTGCACTGAAGATTGCAAGCCAGAGGCTGTTGGCCCTCAGTCCAGGATAACATGGTCATATCAGAAAAGATTATTTATGACTTCAAGACCTGGAATTTGAGGCAGAGTGGGGGTGAGGGCTGAGAGCTGAGGGCATGGATTTTGCATCTGGGCCCAGCAGGTCAGCCAGTCTACACCCCCCTCCATGATCCACTCTTCCCTAGGCACGCCCTCTCAGCCTGTGTCTCTTTTGAGCCCCCCATCTCAACAGCCAGGTCCTGAAAGACCTGCTGGCTATCCCCTCCATTGACACTCTCCTTCACCTCTCAGGACTAGGTTGTCTGCCTCCTCCCCCTGGAGCCACCTTCAAAAAATCACCTTCTGGTTCTCTCACGCTCATGAGAGTAGCCCTCTCCTCAACCGAAGAGGAGTTCCTCCCAGCCCTGACAAACATCCCATTGAGCCACTTGTCACAACAATCACCTAGAACAGGTACCCAGTCATAGCTGTCGTCATGGATGTCACCTCCCTTTTGCACAGAGGGAAAAATCAGACTTCCGTAACACCACGGAGGAAAGAGTGAAGTCAGCCCAGACTGGCTACTTCCGCCAGCTGAGTGTTTCTGCTGCACTGAGTTTGAGTCTCCCAGGAGTGACGGCTCCACTCGGAAGCCATAGACTGAAATGACAGCATTCACCAGTCCTCTATTAAGGCCCACCCTGAGCATTTCCTGTGAATCAAACCACTAATCTTTGCAATGACCATAAGAAACAGTCACCAGTGTCACCTTCTTCTATAAGAAGGGACACAGCATGACACGCAGAGCCCATACCTGGGCCCCTTTCTGTCTTACTCCTCGCTCTATCTCGAATGTTCCTAGCATACATTTAAATGTGTGGGCTCTCTTTTTCTCATGAGAGATATAACTTATATACAGTTAGTCACTCGCATTTCTCTCTATTGAATGGGAAGAGTGGATCAGCCCCTCGGTACTGACTTCCAGCATCCAGCCCCAGGAGGTCCCTATCACACACAGCTCAGCACCTGTCCTGAGCAAAGCCCAAAAGTGCCCGTTGACTCCATGAGGCTGTCTCTGTCGTCTTTGTGGAGT